GAGTCGCCATGATGCTCCCACTCCAGACAGATGCAGGTTAAGATCCTCTCTGGTAAGCCAGCTCATGGGCTACACAGAATATTAGAAATGGGTTAGAACAATATGTAAGAGCTAGCCAATAAGAAACTGGACCTAGCCGGGCCAGGCAGTGTTTGAAAGAATACAGTTTCCGTGTAATTATTTCTGGGTATAAACTAGCCATGCGGGCGGCCGGGTGCCGGGGACGCAGCCCCACCACTCTTATTTCAACAAAGAGAAGCACAGTCACCAACATAAATCAGTGGATGGGATGGAGTGATGGCTCAGCCATTAAAAGCTAGAATCACAACTAAAACTTTCAAAACTATCCATGGCTTCTTCTGTAATTTTTTTGGTTTGAGATGCTTTAAGACATTGTTAATAAAAATACTGTCCAATAACTTTGAAGTGGTTTTCTAGTCAACTTCTTTATTTCTCACTCCAAAAAAAAGTTGGCTCCAGTCAAGCAGAAACTTGTTCATTACCTGAGCAGTCAATGGGTGTGCATCTTTCCACCATTTTGGGATTTTTATGATTGCATGTGTTTATTCCTTTTGTTTCTTGGGTTTCTATCATTTTTCCAATTCCCTAAGTGTAGGAAGGAGTGATCAGTAACAACTAGTCTCCAGTAGAAATCCCTGAGGTAAATTGGTTCTAGAAAGGACATGGGTAGTTAGTATATCTTTAATGAGTTATGCAGTATCTAAACTCCTAAGGGATTCATGCACTTAAGGTCCAGGAATGATCACAGGAGAATGTGAGTAGGTATAGAGCAGATATATGATGAGCACAGAGGCCACTAGTTCCTGTGCCTGCAAACAAAATAAAGATGAATAGGATACTGAACCAGAAACTTTGACTCAGCCTCAGCGGATCTGGCTACATTCAGGAAAGTGAGATGTTGTCTTTCTGTCAATCCACATGAATTTCAAGTATGATGCAGAACAAATTTCAGGTATAATAACATTCTTTTTTTCTTGGTCTTCCAAGAATTTATCAGACTGTGAATGTTTCATGGTCATCATATAATCACTTTCGTGTTAATGACTTTATTACAATTACTCATCATATAATTTTTTTCTCGATATCCCACCATTTCAATTCAAGAGTAGTACTGTGAGATGGAGTTCACTGCTCTAGACTAGTGCTTATTGGTTTAATATACTTTACACTGTGGGGTCTTATCAAACTCTGAACAATGACCTATCCAAGATGATGATCAATCTTATCTGTACAAGTTCACAAATCTGTGTTTTAGTGGTCACATATGTGTTTTCTTCTAAGTATAGTCCATCAAGGAAGACAATAGCATCATCCAGGTGCTTGTATAAAATGAAATCTATACAATTAGTTCTTCTTCATAATACAAAATGTTACACAGGGGTACCAACTGTTAGAAGCATATACCTTGTTATTTCTAGGTGCTGTTTAATTTGAGAATTGTGGTCTTAACATCTTAAGAAGGCAAGAACTTCATTAGCTCATTATTGGTAACAGTTGATGGTGATTTCTCTGGATTGTGATCTATGTACACAAGCCTCCACAACACAAAGGTACTGTTCATTTAGAGAAAAGGCAGAAACCGGGATTGGTGGTACATACCTGTAATCCCAAATGTTTGGGAATAGTCAAGAATGCTGCATGTTTCATGCCAGTTGTGAATCCATAAGGAGAGCATCTTTTTAAATGGTGGATGACTTTACCCCTCTCCCAGGCTAATATGTGATGTTCATGTGTACAAACTCTGGCTTCAGTTGCATTAAACACTGCCAGTCTGTGAAGAAACAAGCAGTCAGACTTGGTTGTAGCATTTCAGAAGAAAATGTTGATTACTACTCTTGATGTTTCTCCTGTTTTGTCAGCTTTGGAGCATGTAATAAGCTCATTAACCAGTGTTATCCAAAATCACAGAATGATTTGTGTATGTGTGTGTGTTTCTCTGTGTGTGTGCATGTGTGACCATGCATGTGACTTAGGATACTGTCTGCATAGATTAGCAACAGATAAGGTAAACATGTGAAAACTGTGTAGAATATTGGGGCTTCTGAAAAGAGTGGAGGTTATAGACTTCTATCTAAGGAAGAAATTAAACTTTTTTCTACAGTGTATTGTCCTCTTTCCTAGTTCTTTCACTGGACTGAATGAAGCTCATGTTTTAAAGTGTTAGTTGTTTAATGCAAAATCTACAAATTTTAATGACATTTATAGAATATCTTATTACCAACTAGAATTTGTCCAAAATTGGTATTGGTCTTAATTTACTTGATATGCTTATCACACAGAAAGTCATCTGAGGAGTAACTTAAGTGAAGATTTCAAACTAACTTTGTTCCTTTTTTATAATTCATAAAAAAATTTATCCTGTTTGTTTTCTGCAACAAAATCAATGACATTTTGTGGATTAAAGCTTATATATGTGACTTGGAGATATCAGTATTACTGAGAAGTGATGCAAATGATTAGCCCCAACACTGTGCACATAAGAACTCTGATGCTCATTATAGAGTTTAAAATTGAATTATATCTGTTTTAGGATTTCAATTGAAATGGGGAGTTTTCTACTATTGAAGTTGAAGAAATTTATATCAGTCTGAGCAACAGGCAAAATTATTTCACTGTACAAAGTCATACATCATGACATGGACTGGCCCTAAGAAAAATTGTAAGTAACCAAACAGAATTAAGTCATATAAGATCTCAAATGCACGTAGATTACAACTGATGTGAAGGTAGCTTAAATCAGGGACTAAAATAATAAGTGTATTGGGTACATATGGGATCCTATGGGACCTGGCTGAAGGTCTTACTTAGTTTGTGGAGACAATAAATTTAGCTATGTATGTGATAAGCAATACAGTTACGTACAAATGGGGATGAACCAAATGAAGAGGGAGAAGAGATAAGGAAGTGATAGTAAAGTAGATGAGCAACTCTAAAATGGAGGAGGGGAAGAGTTTTAACTCAAGTATTGATGAAGAGAGAAATACAAGTGTCACTAGGAAAGCATATGGAATATACCACAGGCACATGTGAGTATATGTAACAGTGTTTGCATCCCTGATAACAGCTTTGTCCTTATCTTATCCTCAGAGCAGCATTGGTAATGTGAAGCATGAATCAGACAATAGTTGATTGGACACCTCTGTTAGATGCCTAAATGAAGCATGCTGAAGGAGAAGGGAAGCATCAAGAGACAAAAGAACATGGGCATGAGCTGTATCTGCCTTTGTGTTCCAGTAAAGTCAGGAGCTGATCCTGATATACGGATATAATCTCACAGAAAGGGATGGATAAAATAGGGGCAGAATGAAGGGGAGACACTGAATGATGTATGACAGTAGTTCAATGTAAGGAGAAATGAAAGGATCAAAACCTAAGAGATTTCTAACTCAAGCCTGAATTTCTTTTACTGTCCCATGAGGGACTGGAGAGGAGGAAGGAAATGAGGAATGCTGTGGGAGACAACAGAGTGAAGACATGAATATATTTGTTACAGAAACATGCATATCTGAATTTGAAATGATAATCTAAGGCACTGGAATATGTGTAGGTTTTTTTGAAACTTTATATGAGGACAAAGTCTATCAAATTTTTCAATAACAAAAATATACAAAAAACATACTGCAAACTACAAATGAATAAGCAACAGTTGAGCAGTATGCTGGAGAGAGAAGCATTTGTGTGCTAGGATCTCAGTAGAAAATGCATAGATCTCTCTTGAAAAGGATAGGAGATAGATTCAGGTTAAGAAGAAATTGGGAAATAGCATTGATGATTGTAATGATTACAGAAAATTGGAGTTTGAGGATATAGTCACTATAATCATTGTCAGATCTCTTTTTGTACAAAACATACCCCAAATATATGTTTATTTTTTAATATAAAGGATCCTACTTTTTCTCAAGAGGTTACTGGATAACAAAAATGATAGTGAAAAACCAAACTGTCATCTCTCACTTCATCCTCCGGAGCCTGCCCATTCCCCCAGAGTACCAGCACCTGTTCTATGCCCTGTTCCTGGCCATGTACCTCACCACCATCATGGGGAACCTCATCATCATCAGCCTCATTCTACTGGACTCCCACCTGCACACACCCATGTACTTCTTTCTCAGTAATTTGTCCTTTTCTGACTTCTGCTTTGCCTCTGTCACAATGCCCAACTTGCTGAAGAACATGCAGAGGCAAATTCCATCAATCTCCTATGTAGCTTGCCTGACACAAATGTACTTTTTCATTTGTTTTGCAACCATGGAAAGCTTCCTCCTCATGATCATGGCCTATGACCGCTATGTGGCCATCTGCTTCCCCCTTCATTACACCAGCATCATGAGCCCCAGGCTCTGTGTGTGTCTGGTAGTGTTGTCCTGGGTGATTAACATGTTGTATTCCATGTTACACACCCTACTCATGGCTAGATTGTCATTCTGTCAGGACAACATGATACAGCACTTTTTCTGTGAAACATCTGCCCTGCTCAAGTTGGCCTGTTCTGATGCTTTTATTAATGAACTATTGATATTTATCTTGGGAGGGCCCATTGTTGTCATCCCATTCTTACTCATTTTTGTATCCTATGTACAAATTGTCTGCTCCATCCTAAAGGTTTCATCTGCTAGGGTTATTCACAAGGTCTTCTCTACCTGTGGTTCCCACCTATCTGTGGTCTCACTGTTCTATGGGACAATTATTGGTGTCTACCTATGTCCATCAACTAATGAGTCTACTGTGAAGGAGACTGTTGTGGCCATGATGTACACAGTGGTGACTCCCATGCTGAACCCTTTCATCTACAGCCTGAGGAACAGAGACATAAAAGACGCTCTCATAAGAGTCCTCTGCAAGAAGAAAATCTGCCTATAATGGCAGAACTGGGATTTTTACTTAAATTTACCTAATAAATATATTGAAATTAATATTACAAAATGTATCCCTACAATGGAACCAACATTCAAGTACATACATTTTCATTTGCAAAACAGAGTTTTGCAAAGTGGTTCAAGTAAGGAAAAAGACTTTGTTGACTTAGTGATGCCTTCCTCTGCCTTGCATGTTTGATTCTAAAAGCTTTAGTTAAAAGTCACTGTTTTGACTGATCTCTAATCTTTACCAAGATTTTGTGATATTTCACAAATTTCTGTGATAATCTCACTATAATCCAATGCTGAACCCTTTCATCTACAGCCTGAGGAACAGAGAGATGAAAGAGTCACTGCTGTGAGTCCTTTGCAAGGATAAAATATGTTTATAATGGCAAGATTGGGATTTTTATTTGAATTCATCTAGTAAATATTTTGATACCAATATTACAAAATGTATCCCTACAATAGGACCCCCACAAAAGAACATGATAATTTCGTTTGCAAAGTAGTTCAGTTAGGAAGTGGACCTTGCTGACTTACTGATGTCATCCACTGCCTTGCAAGTGTGATTCTAGAAAAGTACTACATATGAGCCACTGTTGTATAGGAATTTCACTCCTAAGATTACTTTTTTTTTTTCATTGAAAATAGATTCGTCACTAAATTCTGCCTAATGTTTGGCTGTGTATCTCTGCCTCTATTTACACCAATTGTTTTATGGAGCATAACTGATGCATAGAGATCATTGCATTTACTTCTCTCTGATCCATTTGTTGCTCTCATAAGTCTCTGGCCCATCTAGCTTTTGGTTGCTCTTTCTCCAGGCAACATCAGTGGTATACTCTCACTCACCCATGGGTCTCAGGCTGGACCAGTTATTGGTTGATCACTTTCATATTTTTTGTGTCTTGCTGTCAAGACAAAGTATATATAAAAATCTTACACTTGGTTTAGTGTTCCAATCACTCCACTAGAAATCTTGTTTGGTTATAGGACATGTCAGGTTCAGTCTCCATATCCCCTATTACTAAAAGTCTTAGCTATCATCCTAATTGATTCCAGATGGTTTCCATTATACTATGTTCTACACTGCCTCTGCATGAATTTCTCCTGTAAGCCAAAGATATTGAAAATAATAAACCTATTTAATTATGCATATATAAGTAACATCAAAATCCTTGGAGATGATTGAGTAGAACTAAAACCTACCATAAAACCACTGTTGCTTCTTACATTAATCAAAAAACAGAGACTATGTGAATCATTCTTCTGGAGTAACTGAAACCATTACATTAGCAAGCAAAATATGGCTGTTTTTCACAACCAGAGCAGACAGTACTCTCTCTAAAATACTGGATACATCCTTAGATCTCACTTAGTTTTTTCACATTCACCAATAAAAGTTACTCATCTCTAGGAGCTCAAATAACATTAGACCAATAAGGATTGAGATTTCCTGGAGATGAAAATTTGTATTTCATAATCAAATACAGAACTTCATCAGATGACTACCAAGCTCAGAACTACAATAAATGAAGGAATTAGAAATGCCAGCAATGGCATCATGATCAATGATGAACTCAGAACAGGGCATTAGGAAGTCATCTCACATACATGGAGAGGAGTTGAGGTAATGGTGGTAGAAGGTGTTATAATGGTGTTCATAGGTAAGAAGAGCAAATGAGTGAACAGGCATAGAAACACGGACTGTTTTCTTTTAGCTTAAGAAAGCATTAAATATTCTATCTAGTTTCCATATCATTGTAGAATATTATTTTAAGTTGCATTTGTTGAACTCTGTGAATCTGTGTAGTTGTGCCTGTCTAAAACACCTGACGGTTGAGCAGCCAATAGTGAAGCAACAGAAAGAATAATTGGGACTGACAGGCAGAGAGAATAAATAGGAGAAATATTAGAGGAGCACAAAGAGAGATCAAGGAACAAGAGAGGAAGGAAGAGGAATTCAGAGACCAGCCACCAAGCTACACAGCCAGACACAGTAAAAAGGACGGAAAATGTATGCAGGAAAAGAATAGAAAAAAAAACCCAGAGGCAAAAATTAGATGGAATCATTTAGGTTAAGATAAGCTGGCATAAACCAGAATTTATAATTAAAAATAAGCCTCCATGCGTGATGTATTTGATAGCTGAGTAGCAGGAAACCAAAGAGTAAAGAAAACAAACACCACCACCACCACGTGCCTGCCTTTTCCTTGGCACATATAGGAAGTTGGCAGATGAAGGTGAGATTTTCCTAGAAGATTGTGTCTATGACCGAAACCCTATAGCAGGTAGACAATCATGTTGGATTGAGATGCTATATTTGGAAGCTGTCCCAGAGTGTGTGATTTTCTGCAGTTTCATTCCACTTGTACTTAGAAACTACTGAAGGATGGTCTGGAGAGTTTGAACTTCCACTAAAGGCAAGGATCACAGCCCAGAACCAAATAATCACACAAAACTATATTAATTACAACACTATTTCACTAATGGCTCAGGCATATTTCTTGTAGCTCTTACATTAATAATTAACCCATTAACATTAACCTGTGTATAGCATGAGGCTTTGGCTTCCTGGAAAGGTTCTGGTATCTCTCTTGTTCATCAGCTATATGGCATCTGCCTGACTCTGCCTTCTTTCTCCCTGAATTTAGTTTAGCTTTCTATCCTATGTATATTGTGTCCTATCATAGGTCAAAGCAGCTTCTTTATTAACAAATAGTAATAGGACATATTCACAACATACAAACAGAAAACCTGCATCATACTTATGTTTATTTCTTTTATTTGTTGTTATTCTTTAAATTCTATCTTCCCCTTAGTGTAGGAAAGAGTGATCAGTGGCTATAATTGGTATCTACTGGTGATCCCTGAGGTAAATTGGTCCTAGGAAGGAACTGGATAATGACTATGTCTTTAATGAGTTATACAGTATTTGGACTCTGGAGGGATGCAGGGTGCCTAAGGCCCAGGACTGGCCACAGGAGGATGTGAGTAGGGATGGGCAGATAGATAATGAGTACAGAGGCTACTAGTCCCTGTGTGTGTAAATAAAGTAAAGGTGAGCAGGATCCTGAACCTGAAACTTTGTCTGAGCCTCAGCAGAGCTGGGTTCATTCAGAAAAACAAGCTAGTATCTTGCTGTCAATTTACATGAATTTCAAGTGCCACTCAGAACAGTTTTCCAGGTACAGTAGCATTCTTCTTTTCACTGTCTTCCAAGAATTTATCACACTGTGAATTTTTTCATGGTCATCATATAACAGCTTTCATATTGTTGGCTTAATTACAATTACTCATTGTGTAATTTTCTCAACACCACACCCTTTCAATCCAAGAGCAGTACTGTGAGATGGAGTTCAGTGTCCTGGTGCTCAGTGATTTACTATACTTTCCACTGTGGGGTCTTAGATGTCTGCAGAGTGTTCTACCAAAGATGATGATCCATTTCATCTGTACAAGTTCACAAATTTGTGCTTTAGTGGTTACATATGTGATTGATTGCTCCTAAGAGACGCTCATAGAGGAAGACATAATAATATCATCTAGGTGCTCATGTAAATTGATATCCCTATAGTCAAAACCAGTTTTTCTACATAGTCCAAGATGATATGCCGCTGTACCAGCTGTTAGATATACATCCCTTAGTATTTCTAGGTGCTGATTAATTTGATAATGGTAGACTTAACATCTAAATAAGGCTTTTACTCCATTAGCCCCTCATGGCAACAGTTGATGGTGATTTCTATGGATCATGATCAATGTACAAAAGCCTCCATAACACAAAGGTACTATCTACTTCTAGGAGAAGCAGAAACTGGGGATATTAGTACATACTTGTATTCCTAGTATTTAAGAAAGGTCAGTGGTATTGCGTGTTTGAGGCCAGTCTTGTGTGTGTGTGTGTGTGTGTGTGTGTGTGTGTGTGCACGCACACACATGCATATGACTTAGGATACTGACTGTATAGATTAGCAACTGAAAAGGTGAACATTTGAAAACTATCTAGAATATTAGGGCCTCTGACAGTAGAGGTTATAGACTCCTATCTAAGGCAAAAATGTATTTTTTTCTGTAGTATATTGTGCTCTTCCCCTAATTCTTTCATTTTACTGAATGAAACTCATGTTATGCAGTGTTAGTAGTTTTATGCAAAATCTGATAATTTTAATGAAATTTATATAATATGTTATTACCAACTTTAATATGTTCAAAATTGGTATTGGGCTTAACCCATTTGATGTATAAATCAACCATCACAGAGAGTATAGTCAATTGAGGAATAACTTAAGTGAAAATTCCAAAGTAACTTTCTTCCTTCTATTTTATAATTTATACAATTTTTCATCCTATTTTTTCAGCAAATCACATTTTGTGGAATAAACATATGTTTATGACTTGGAGTTCTCAGTATTATGGAACAGTGATGCAAATGATGAGCTCTACCTCTGCACATTAGATCTCTGGTGCTCATCATAGAGTGTAAAATCTAATGCTAACTCATCAAGTTTTTTACTTGAGATGGGGAATTTTCTATCATTGAAGTTGAAGAAATTTATATCAGTTTAATCAGTAGGCAAAAAATTTTCACTGGACAAAGTTATATATCCTGAAAGGTACTAATGCTAGTTAGAGATTAAGAAAATTTGTAAATAGCCAAACAGAATTGAGTCATTTAAGACCTAAAATGCACGTATATTTTGATTCATGTGAAGATAGATTACAGCAGTGATTAAAAAATAAGTGCATGGGATACATATAGAATTCTATGTGACATAAATAAAAGTCTAACTCTGTATATGGCATTGGTAAATTTAACTGTGTACATGATAAATAATACCCTTCACATATGAAGGAGTATGAACCAATAAAGGGGAAGAGGGGAGTGATAGTGTAGTAGATGAGCAACTCTTAAATAGGAGAGGAAAGACTTTTTTCCTTTTTTCCCAAGAGAGGGTTTCTCTATAGCTTTGGAGCCTGTCCTGGAACTAGCTCTTGTAG